CCCAAGGAGAACTTTTCTTCTAATTCGACTCTTGAATATTATGGCCATTCTTTTTCTTCCATTCCAATTAAACAGATTGACCCATTGCTGGACATTCAAGTCCCTCTAGCTTCCGTTGCTTAAGTCATATCTTTATTAAACTCTCCTATGGTTTGTGGTCCAGACAACAAACCATAGGAGAAATCATAGTCTTACAAAATTGTTCTCCAGAATTCTCTTCAATTCTCTCTAAACTATTTTATAAGTGCTTGACTAAGACTTGTTTTTCTGCCTGCTGGAAAAAGGCATCTTTTATTCCAATTTTTAAAAACTCTGGAGAACATTCTGACCCCTTCAACTATCGCCTGATCAGTCTTCTATCTATTATTAGCATGGTCTAATAATAGATAGAAGACTGATCAGACGATAATTTGAGTCTTTGATCAACAAATTTCTCACATCCCATCTTGAGTCAAATAACATTTATTCAGACAATCAATAAAGTTTTCTATCCTCTCACTATATAGCTGACTTGCTAACTGCTGTGGCTGAAAGATTTTATTGTGTGTTAGATGGAGGCAGAGAGGGTAGGGCTATTGCTCTTAATATTTCAAAGGCTTTTGACAGTTTGGCATGCTGGTCTTCTCCATAAGCTTGTTTCACATGGTGTATCAAACAACTATCGCAGTACTGTCAACATTTCTATATTAATGAATGGCAACTCTCACTGAGTCCTCTTCTTTACAACTTCTTGGATAATTGTTTACCACTGAACTTTCAAGGAAACCATATTTACAATAAAGTTATAACATTTTCACTCATTTTTTAATTTAAAAATGACCATTGCCCTACCTGATAAGAAATGGTGCAATATGTTATAAATAGCACTGTTTTGCCTTGCCTTGACAAAAATTACCCCTAAGACACAGATTCAAATTTATAGATAAAATGAATGGCTAATTTACTTACTTTCATTCTGTCTAATAAATTTTGTTTACATTTAATTATCTATCACATATTTTTTTGTTTTACTACCTAAAAGTTTGCACTAATTCAAATATATTTTTACGCATTCTAATTAGCTAATGTGACTAACATCTGTAATTATACTGTTGAGCCTAAAACAGACTAATCTAAGTTCCTCTAAGTCAGCAAAAGTTTGCAAACAACTACCAGACAATGGTATTGACTTAACTTGCCATTTATAAGCATCTGTCAGAGAATCACAGAAAATGCAGCAGAACTTTGAAGAAACCCTTAAATATGACAATTGGACTTTGTACTTTGATGGTAAGAAACTTAACAACCAAGAAATGCAAGTTGTTGTTTTAAAAAATCAGAACTGCAAAGTTCGCTTAGCTGCTTTGATTCTTAGTGATGGGTAACCATTAATAATTTTTAATGGAATAACTGAGGTACTAGACCAACATCAATTATGAGAAAGCATTTAAATTATAATATGTGATACCTCAAGTGTCAATACAGTAGTAAGAAATGGAGTTGTTGTAATGATCCAACAGAAATTTAAAGAAAAAGGTGTCAATGATTCCTGCACCTCGGTAAATAGGATGTCAACATCATGTGTTGGAAGTAGTCTTAAAGCATTCAATGGACCAAATTCTTGATGGAAAAACAACATCTCCTAATTTAGTATATGATTTTGTGCAAGAAGTCAGTAACAACTATACAAATTTAAAAACTTACTTCCAACAAAGTGATGTAAATATAAAAGTTAAAAACACCGAATGGTGCAATGATATGCAGTTTTTATACAAAATGGGAAATGCATACTGATATTATCAAGAACATGGTATATTTCCCATTATTACCTTTAAAACGTTACCCAATATAAGTAATGCAAGACAGAACTCTAGAGCAATATATTTCTTGCTTGTTTTTGTATTGCTACCAGAAAAATGTGAACTGCTAAGTGAAATTTGTAAATTGATTTGTGGAGCTTGGTTTGATGTTTGGTTCAGTGACCATTTTTATAAAGAAGACAGTTATAAAAAACTGAACAACAGTTTAAAAAAACACAAAAAAATGTACACCATGTTTAAAAAACATTATAATTAAGACAATACAGCGATTGAGATGCAAAGAAGTAACATTTGTACCAAACGAGCAATTAAAATCATGCAAGAAATACAGTGTACAAGTGCTGAAAAAATCAATTTGAAGTTTATTTTTACAAGTGAATATTTTGTGTTACATTATTCAGCTACTATTACTGTATTGTATTAAATATTATTGTTTACTCATTAGCATAATTTTATTCAATTATACTAAATTGCAAAATTTCGAAAACAGTTTTTCTATTTACTGGTGGAGGTTTTTGAAATAAAATTATTAATGTATGTCAATTTCATGGTTTTTATTCAAAAACTCATCTTGTAGGGCTATGACCATATAAAGTTGTAAAAATGTTATAACCCTAATTTACAATTGATTGTTAAATTAGCATCTGCTAAGGTTGCTAGCATCAGAAGCAACCTTAGCATCTGCTAAGGTTGTTTCTCTTCATTGCCATTTTTACTCTCCTGATTCCATTCTCTACATCAAGTTTCTTATTCTGTATGGTATACTGTTGTCATATTCGGGCTGGTTCTCTTGAAATGATGCTCTTTCTTTCTATACAAAGTCTTAAAACACATTGTTAGCATAGTTGGACCCATCTGGTAAGCTTGAGCCTCTTTTCCATTGTTATAAAGTTGTATCTCTTTCTCCTTTCTATTAATACTATCATGGTTGCTGTTCAAAATCAGAGATGGTGTCCCACAAAGTTTTTTTTAACCAATAAAATAAAAAAACTCCCTAGTACTAGCCTGTGTGGTTAGTACTAGCCTGTGTGGTTAGTACTAGCTTGTGTGCTTAGTATTAGCCTGAGTGCTAAGTTTTTTTTTTTAAAAAAAGCTAATTACTGAACTAATTTTTTTTAAAAAAAGCTAATTACTTAATTAAATTATTAAAGGTACTTGTTAACCAAAACTATTTAAATTATTATTAAAAAAATTGAACCAAATCAAATTGTCATATAAATTGTTTTAATAAATGTGTTGTTAAAGAAACTTCTTTTTTTAGCAATTTTAATTTATTTTTTTTAATTGAAAATTTTTATCTGAAATTGTTCAAATCAAAAAATTCTGACATTTTCAGGTTTGAATGATACTTCATGCAGTTAAAACTCATTATAATATTGAAAAAGAATTTAATCCTTTGACAAACGCTTTCAAAAAAACGTTAAGTTTTTAACTTTTTGTTGCTTTAATTTTAATTTTAAAAAAATGAATAACTGTCATTTAAAAAACAGCATATATTTACATATGTAAAAAAAAAAGCTTTTAATACTTTTTAAATTTTATATCTTCCACAGGTAAGATCATTCAATAATCATCATAATCAAATTTATTCCTATGAAGTTTTTAATACTTCAAAGTCACCAAAATTAATAACAATATCACCATCCTATTACCACCCTAAATACCATCTGTTATTTGAATAAATACCACCTCAGTTGCAATGCCACCCATTCGATCAATAATATTACATTGTTAATTTTTGAAAAATTATTAAGTCTTAATGATAAATCTACCCCATACCATTACTAACCAATATTACTAGATCACCCTATTACCACCTTTCAAAACTTGTTACTTTAGCTAATATCACTACCCACCATACCCTTTTACACCAATTGATGTAGCCCATTATAGTTTATTATAACTCCTTCCTCATTATTTATGATCACAAAATTTTTCTTTTTTAACAAAAATATAAAAATTGAAATGATGTTCAGAAGATCAAAAAACTCTTTAATTAAATGCTTTCATTTTATCTGAAGATCAGAAATGTTTTCAACCGTCAGTGATTTTTTTAAACTGTCTAGTGAATTTTTCAAACCATCTAGTGAACGTTTCAAACTGTCTGTGAAACAAAAATGTTTTAACCAGTCAGCGAATTAAGACTCAGTGAATCAGATGTTAATCTCATCTATAAGTGGATTCTTTAGAACTTGAGATTGGAGCTAATACTCTAAGTACTCTTATATCTTAAAAGAGTTGATGACATTTCGAAAAGTGAAAAGATTTTTGAATCTACTCTTATAAAATTAAAGAAAAACAGATGTAATGTTGATAAAGATCTTTAAACTGCTGCATCAGAAAAAATAAGTTTATATTAGTGAAATACAAGATATTAAAAAAAAATCCAAAAGATTGTAATAATAAAATTATTGAAGTAATTACTAAACTTTTTATTATCCATAATCCAAAAGATCATCCAAAGATTTGCTAAGGGAGACTATTTTAAATTAAAATTAATGAATTTTTAGAATATTTTTTTGACACTATTTTGACATCAACTTTGTTTGAAACTTCAAAGTATTAATCAAAAAGTTTACAAAAGTTAAATTCAGCTATTTCTTCTGTGCCACTTTTTTCTAAAAGTAATGAATAACTAAACTTAGAATATCATTAAGTGATAAAACGATTGATACATTATGTTTTTTAAAGTTGTGTTTAACCATAAATAAATAGTATTCATACGATTGATTGAAGAAAATTATCTGGTATAAAATAAATCAAAACCATTTGAATAGTTAAAATTTAAATAATTTTTCAAAACTAATTTGTTATTTAAACAATTTAGTTTAGCAGACATTTAATAGTAATCAATTACAATTTAATTATTAGCAATTTAAACATATCATTATGCATAATAATAATTTTAAAATAACTAAAAATTATTACTAAATTTTACACTATGCACTGCAGTTTCTCTATCCTTCCTATCCCCTCCCTTTCCTCTTCCTTTTTTTTAATAATATTTATAGTGATATAAAATTTTATTTGGATTAAAAATCATATAAAAACATAGATCGGAAAATTTAATTAAGAAAAATAAATCAAGTATAGTTACATTATATTTAGACTACTGAGTATTCAAAGGTAATTGATTACTATTAAAACTATAATTGGCGCTTTTATTACGCAATAAAAATTAATAAATACAAAAGAAGGTACCTAATTATGTTTACTTTCATGTCATTTGAGGTTGCGTTTTTAAATTTCGTTAAACACATTATTACGTGTTCCACATGTTGCGAAGTTGTTTACAACCAGTTATTTTTTAATATTTTTAATATAATTGGTTAAATAAATTTTTAAACTCTTAAAATAAAAAGTTTACGGTACCGAATAATTTTTTTTTGAAGGGGGAATGTATAGTAAAAATAAGTGAATATATATATATTTATATATATATATATATATATATATATATATATATATATATATATATATATATATATATATATATATATACATATATATATATATATATATATATATATATATATATATATATATATATATATATATATATATATATTATTTAATAATGATTTATTTGTTAACTAATTTTATCTTGTTAACTTTTATGTAAAGCTGTTAAATAAACTAAAACAAACAAAAACAAAACTTTATTAAAACCATTTTTAATTATTTGCTCAAATTGTAAATGTTTTATCGCCAGATAAAGCGATATCATAACAATGTCGGACTTTTTTATTAAAACTTGTTTCTAGGAGACAAGTTAGGTTAGAGTTCTGGCTCAAAACTAAGAGGTTCGAGGTTCAATGCCTGTTTACCCCCATTAAGTGTCTTGGGTAAGAAAGGAGGCGTAAATTAAATATTTAAATAAATATTTAAATTACGCCGTAAATAGTTAAATGCTCTTCTGCGGTGCTCTGTGATAGGACTTATTACAGAGCACCACAGACCTTAGGCGCAAACTACACATCCATTTGCGTATTTCAGTTTTTTACGCGCACAAAGGCTAATTTAAAATAACATTTTGGGTTCCGCATCCAAAACGCGTACATAAACTAATCAAAAAAAGCTAAAAAGACGTATTTAATATGTAAAAGATAAATTTAATTCTTTGTGGAATTTAAACCATTACAACAATAATTTTTTAAAAGAAAATAACGCAATGAATTAGAAAAGACGTGTCTATCGTTTATTACCCAAATTTCACCATATGATGTTTTTTATAATAAAGTAGTATAAAAAAAAACTAATTACATATTATTGAAAGTCATTCGTTTGATATAGCTTTAACGACCAACTTGATTTAGTTTTACAAAATCATAAAATCATAATACGCATACAAATCATATCATGCGTATGCAGATTTGAATTTCAAATTCAATTCTTCTTATTATAATTAAGTACTTTTTATTGCAAGTTTTAAAAATTAATTAAGCTTTTGTTTGAGCGAGTCTTTAAATAAATTTATTTTTAATAAATTTTTTTAACAACAAAAAATAATTTGACACACTAGTTGTTGACTTTATAAAGTCCACAACTAGTGTGTCAAATTATTATTTTTTTGTTTTTTGCAAAATCAAATTAACTTTAATTTGCCAAATAATTTTGCAACATTTTTCACATTTCTAATTAAGTAGTTCAGTAATTAAAATTGAAAAAATCATTTATTCAAAAATTTATTTTTATGTCAATAAAATTATAGTAGATTCCAAATTTTTTCTTGGATTTCATAAAAAACTTTGAAATTTATATCTAATATTTGTTTAAAATGATTCAGTATCAGTTTTTATTCACAACAACGCTTTGTTTATTCCGTTGCTAGGCAAATAATAATGAAATTATACCATAATATGCAATAAAGCCATCCCTATAAATATAATTGTTCAGCTTCTTGTTGACTGGTTTTATGTGCGTTCATTGAGCACAAAACAGCTTTTGTACTTCTTTAAGTTGGTACCCTGGCATTATTTTTATTCTCTTAAAATTTTACTCTTAATAAATGACTTTGACAAATTACTAGCATATTAGATAAACATCTAAAACGTATTGCAAAAAGATTTTTAATATTGAAAAAAAAAATTGACTGACTTCAAAAAAATAGAAAAAGTTAACAAGAACATAAGTATCTTAATATTACATTAATATTAAAGATTGAAATTTTGCACAATGTACTTTACACAATGTACAATGTACTTACACAGTGTACATTTTGCACAATGTACTTGCACAATGTAATACTAGAGTAACTTGTGCCTGAACCAAAAATATTTAAAAAATATTTAAACAATATAATGGCAGACTTAATAGTAAAAAAAAACTATTTTTAGCGATAAAACACTCAGCTGATAGTGTTATCGCAGATCGAAACTTTTTTAAAGCTTAAATCATGGTTTTTTATTGAGATATCATTGTTTTCCTACAGCTACTCATAAAAAAAAAAGAAACTGAAAAAAATCATTTTTGAAATCGAAAATCGTGTACACCACTGTTAAATCGTCTAAAATCACCAGCACAACAGTCTTTTGCAGTATTATTTTTTTTTAATATATATTTACTATTGAATTCTACAAGGTTCAATTGTCTAAATAAAATTTTTTCAATTTTTATATTTTTTTCTGTAATAAAAGTAATGAAAAACACATTTAAAAGTTAGATTTGTTGAAATTTAACCTAAAATATCAAAAGCTAACAACATCATTAAAAATGCAATAACTTTTGAATAACAAAATTGCATTATAAAAAGAAACGTAGAGGAAAATGAAAAAATGAAAGAATGAGGGAGAAACTGTTGCAATGACATTTTTTTTTACTTTGTAATTGAACATATAGATCTTAAGATATCAAATATCAGCATAAGAATGCTGCTTTACTTTTAAATAAAAATAAAGTATTTTCTTGTATTAATTAAAGAGATTAAAGCATTTTATTCACGTCAATTTATTACGTCTATGTGTTACTTTTTTTTTACATATAAAAAAAGTTATCAATCGTTCAAATTTATTTTCTAAAATTATTTTCAAAAATCAAACAAAAACAAATAATTTACAATTTAAGACATCTTTTCGTGTCTTTGTGGATGCTTAGTAGATAATATTATAGTTGAATTTTTCTGTATGCCTAAATCAACGCTAAATGTACTTTTACTGCTTTTTTGTCTCAGCGCGGCTTTTTTTCGCATCTTTATTTCGTTGTTCTTCCAAATATTTTATCAACGCTTTTATGTTCCTTCTATCATAACTATTAAGTACGCCTAAGACACTAAACAATGCAAATTCAATCATAACTATTAAGTACGTCTAAGACACTAAACAATGTAAAGTTTGAGTTTGCTAAGTTAACTTTGGTTAATAATTATCGTTAAAAAAAAACAAAAAAACATTTGATATTATTACAATGGTTTGGTTATTCAAAAATATATTTACTCTATACATACTACAGAAAATAAGCATTTACATTGAAATTTCCTTTCCTTTCAGTTGATAAAAATATTTTCTGCGAGAATTAATTTTCAGCCTGTACAAAACTTTCGTTGGGCGTCTTAAATTTTAAAATTAGTTAATTTTGTCTGCGGAAAAAAATTTAATTTAAATGCTCAAATTTATATATTCACTATACATTAGCGTCCTATTATGTAAAATAATGGTTAAATTCGCGTCCTATTATGTAATACCAAAAATTTTTATAATAATTGTTATATTGGTACATATAATTTTAAATTTTTTTAGACCATTTGCTATGTAATGTGTGGTTTGACTTGGTTTATGTATAGCGTCAATAAATTAACATCTCTAAAGGTATGAAATTGTTAAAATGCACAAAAAAAGCTATAAAAAGTGTAAATCTTGCTTTACCAACTGGTAGTCAAAGGACTACCAGTTGATAAAACAAACAAAAAAGTACGTCACAGTTTATAATTTTTTTACTAACTCTTAAAACCTTCTTTAAAACATTTACTTTCAAAGTTAAATGGAAAAATAGCTATTTAAACCCTATTTTTTACCTTGCATTACCATTGAATAGCATTGATTACATTTTAAGACATGTTCTTTGATTTTCTTTTAAAAAAACTTAATAATAAACAATTAAAATAACCTTTTTATACAAATACTCAACAATACTATTTTTTAATGTAATATCAAAGTTCATAACTTTTAAGCCAATAGCATTAAGATGGTGAAAAATGTTTTATAAAAATTAAGACGGTGAAAAAATGTTCATTATAAACCGTAAGCTAAGAGTTTCAGCTGCCTAATCTTTAATAACTCAAACTATGGAAAATTCTTACTGTTCACTTTGCAGCGTAACAATCTTTCTTTATATTCTGGATGATTATTTTTTTGCTTATACCTTGACCAATATTGATAAAAACCTTAATGAGCAGGTTTGACATTTTTTTTACTATAGGACCCCAAGGATAATCTTTTGTGACTGATAAAATTTTGATGTGGTAAAACAGGGTGTGACTTTCGGGTGTACGCTAGCGACAATAGATAATAAATAACAATTTTTAAAATTTTAAATTTTTTTAACAAAATCTGGCTGAAGAATGAGTCCAAAACAAGCGTTGACCACAAACTTTTCAACTTTTATAGTACAGATCAAAATTAATTTAACTCAATTTGCATTAATCAGTGACCATTTTTGTTTAATATTGAAAAAACCTTTTTCAACACTGACTAACTTAACAAAAAAACCACCAGAAATTTTGCGATTTTAAACTACATAATTTGCAAGATTTAATAAATAATTCCAGCGAGCATCAAGCCAAACTGTACCACGAACTGTAAATGAACGTCGGTGATTTTTACGTCACTCAAAAAATTACTCAAGTGTTAACCTGCTTTTAAAAAATTCATGTAAAAATTTGCCTCTACCATCTTGCTGCTTGATGTTTGCTTACAGTTACGATAAGTTCCTTTAATAATTAACAACTTTTAAGAGAAGATGCAGTTCCAGCCTTGGCGCAGTGGTAGCGCACTTGCCTCAGAAACAAAAGATATTTCGTTTCTGAGGCAAGTGCGCTACTCTATTCGTTTTTAAAGAGATTAGAAACTTGCCAAAAACTTCCTGATATCTATTTATTCTCATATTCTTATATATCCTATAGGGAAAATATCTTACATATCCTATAGGAAAAATTTGATAAATAAGGGCGCCAATCAGGATTGTTGTCCCAGGCGGCATGACAGCTCTCGGCGGCCCTGAGTATTAGTATTCAATATGAAAAATTTATTTAAGTATAATATTTTATCTGGAGTAATTGTGAGTGGAGGCCTTTAGCAAGTTGAATTGTTTCTTCCAGAGATAATTTTTTAATAGAAATAACTC